GGTGGGGTTTTTGGGAGGGGTATTTGGGAGGCAGGGATTAGGAGGTGGCTGAACCTCCTTCACAGTCCCAACACCAGCAGATCCCGTGGGGAGACACGGGTGTCTGAACTGGTGGAAAATGCTGGAGTAAAATCTGTTCCTTCTGTTAAGACACTCCAGACTGTGGGGACCATTCCCACCCTACTGCTCAGGGCAGGTTCCTGCGCTCAGGTTGGCTTTGGAGCCTCTCTGTGGTTGCTGTGTCCAGGCTGACACAGCTCCTCCCTTGCTCCTGAGGGACAAGGCACCTGGTTCCCTTCCTGTTTGGGAAGCTCTTCAGAATGAAAAGGAGTTGCTGCAGCTGGGAAGAATGTGTGAGGCCATTTTGAGTCCCTTCCATCCAACACCTACCACTGGGAAGTTATCTCACCCAAAACAGCTTGTTTTAGTCAAGGACTGAAAGCTGAGCTTGCCCTGACCCCCTGGCAAAGCTGTGGGGTCTGCAGAGGTGCTGAACCCACCATGGCTTTGGTGGTGCCTGGCAGAGGGGTCTCTTTGGTGCTGGGCAAGCCTGGAGATGACAGCTTTCCTCCTGGTGGGCTGGGTGTCTCTCCATGCAGGCAGGTGGATCAGCTGGTCTCCCAGGTCACCTTCCTGAGGTGGGAATGTGGGGAGCAGGGTCCCAGTGCAGGGGAGTCTCAAGGCAGAGGTGCTGCATTGAAGGAGGCAGGACAGGGTGTGCAGGTGGTTCAGGCCTTAAGCCAGAGGGGCTTGGGTTTTTTTTTCAGAGACAGTTGTTTTTCAGGAGAAATTCTAAGGTTTCCTGCATTTGGGGCAGGATCCCAGGGTGTCTGGCAGGACGCTCCGTTCCACAGCTGGGGTGGCTCTTTGTGCTTTCCTCCTGTGATGTTTAATCCTTCCTCCTTCACCCAATGGCCTGGGACAAGAGAGGGTAAAACCAGCTAACTAGTGCTCAGCTGGTGAGCTTGGTGGCCACAGCCTCGGAGCGCCAGGGCAGCCGGGATCCAGGCTGAGAGCTGGAGCTTCCCAGGGGCTCTGGCTCGGGGGGAGCCTGTCGCTGGGACCCCCCTGAGTGCTGAGAGAGGGGTCTGCTCTGGTGCCCTGGAGTGCTGAGCGTGGTGTGTGTGTTGGGTGGTGGTGGTCGTGGTGGTGGGTTTGGTTGATGCTCCACTAATCCGCATGCCTCTTTGCTGGTTCCTGTCCTAACAGGGGGTGTCGTTTGATCAAGCCAATAATCTGCTGATTGAACCTGCTCGCATTGAGGAGGAAGAGGTCTGTACCACTCCTACTGTTCTCTCTCTACCAAAGAATCATTCAGTCTGCTTGATTTGCTTCCCAGGCTCACCCGTTGTTGTAGGGGAAACTCTGGTCTCTCTGGGTCAAGTGGCTTCTGGACCTGCCCGATCACAAACACCATGATTGTTTCCTCCCCTGCTTTCAACTCCTTTCCCGACTTCTCCATCCCTGAGGTGAGAATGGCTGCTGCAGATCCGGAGTGAGATGGAACAGATGTTAAAAAAAACCCCACAACGACAAAACAGAGGGGACTGAGGTGGAAAACTCAGTTCCTATTTGCTGTGCACTGGGGAAGGAGAAGGTGGAAGATCAATGCACAGTTGGGGTGGGTGACCCTGAGGAGCACGAACCTCAGGAGCCTGCTGAGGGTCTTTGGGACAGGGAGGAGGATCCAACTCAGGAGCCTGCATGGCATGGGAAAGGTGAGCTGGGAATAAGGATCCATGTACCTCAGGCAGCAGAATCCCCTCAGGTCCTTGGGAGGTCTTTGCTCCCCTCAGCACTTTGGAGGCCAGGCAGGGGCAGGTGGTGCTGGAGGGCCCATGGAGCCCCTGGATCAGGCGTGGTGCTGTGTGTGCTGCTTCCTGAGCTCATCCTCTGGCACCATCAGCTTCCTGAATTTGTTATTCCAAGATGTTGGCAGGCTTGTTGCTGCTCGGGGTCAGGAGACCTTCTGCAGGCAGTGTTTCCAAGGAGCTGCTGGAAGCAGAGGGCCCTGGCAAGGGGCACAAACCAGTGGGTACTGGGGGCTCTCTGCCACCTCCCCAGCTGTGAACTGGAGGTTTTTCTGCCTTGGTTTTGGAGTAAAACTTTCTGGGAGGAAGATGACAAGTCCTTCCCACTTCAGGCAAATCATGAGCTGGCTCACCCGGGGTCCAGTGTCCATGTGTCCTGAAGATCTGTCCCTCTTGGCTTTAGAGCACTGGAAGACATAGATGAGTATTTCTTGTGTTGGTTTTGCACTGCTCCCCTGCCACTCGGGCAGTGGAGCCAGGGGCCTCCTGAGCAGGGCTGCAGCTCCCATGGAAGGTTCAGCCTTCAGAAACATCAGTGAGGACAAACTGTGGGTCTGAGGGAGCTGGGACACCCTGCAGGTGCTGAGGGGGTGCCCTGCCACCCATCCCAGCTGTGACAAGCACGTGCTTCTCAGGAGAGGTGGAGGGACAGCAGGAGAAACGTGCAGGGCCTTAGAGGCTACTTGGCTTGGAGCAGAGGGTTGGCCTGGGGAGTGACTGAGCCCTGAAAAAGCATCTGCTGGTTGTTTCCCGTGGTGATTTCACGTTCTTTAGAAGAGCCTATTACAGCTGAACAGAACCAGAGTCACAGGATGGTTATGGTTGGAGAACCTCTTAAGATCACCAAGTTCAACCATAGCCTAACTATACTGAGTCCAGTGCTTAAACCATGTCCCTCAGCACCATCCCCAGGGCTTGGAAACCCCCCCAGGGATGGGGACTCCCCCCCTGCCCTGGGCAGCCTGGGCCAGGCCCTGACAACCCTTGCCAGGCAGGAATTGTTCCCCAGATCCAACCTCAACCTCCCCTGGCACAACTTGAGGCCGTTCCCTCTTGGCCCAGGGCTTGTTCCTGGGGAGCAGAGCCCGACCCCCCTGGCTCCAACCTCCTCTCAGCAGCTGCAGAGCCAGCAGGTCTCCCCTCAGCCTCCTTTGCTCCAGACTGGACACTCCATTACAGAGTGGAGAGGCTGGTGCCCCTGGAGAGCACAGTTTCAGTTTGTAAAGCTGCCATCACGTTCCTTGTGTGATTTTTATGCAGCTCTTGGAGAGAAGGAGCTACTAAAGATGTTCTTTGAGCCAAAACCATCATCCTAAGCCAAAGACTAACCTGCCCAAGGAGAGCTGGAGGCCCCTGCCTGGCGTCTGTCAGCCCCCCAGCACCAGACAGTGGGGAGCCTGATGCTGGGTTTGCAGGTGGAGATCCTTTAGTTCTTGGTGCCAGTGGGACTCCTCTACAGGGAAAGGAATAACATGAGGAAAGCAGCTGGTACCTGACAGTGGATCCCTGAACTCCAGTGCTGACTGCCCAGTGGTTTGTCTCAGTCTCCATCTGCTCTGCAGAAATGGCTGTTTCTGCTGGGACCCTGGCCCAGGTTGCCCAGGGAGGTTGTTGATACCCCATCCCTGGCAGTGTTGAGGGGCAGGTTGGATGGGGCTTGGAGCAGCCTGGGCTGCTGGGAGGTGTCCCTGCCCGTGCAGGGGGGTTGGGTCTAGATGAGCTTTAAGATCTGCCCAGGCTCAACCCATCTTCTGCACAGCACCTGAAAATGAGGTCACGACAGGCTCTGCTCTAGCAAACCTGTTGCTGACTGAGGAGCCTTCCAGGACTTTGCCTTCCCCTGTGCTTTGTCCCAGCAGCACAGGGCTGGCCAGAAGGGACCTGCTGCTCATGGACCTCTCGAGGGAACAGCTCAGCTGGCCTGAGATGTTCAGAGTGCTCTGACTTACTTGCTGGAAGGTAGAAATGAGCCTGTCGGCTCCTTCTGCTCAGATGTTGAATCCCGTTGTTCTGGAGTCAGAAATGAGTCAAGTCTTCTCCTCAGAGGAGTTGTGTCTTATGGAAATTGCTCAGAAATATCCCAGTTGGTGTTGGGATGGAGGCCTGGTGCTCAGCACCACATGTACTGCCTGCCAGGGGCAGCCCCCCTGCACAGCTTGGTCCTGAGCAGCCAGTGTGAGGGTTCAGCTTTGGAAAGGTTGGCCCAGTTAGAGAAGGCTCCAGGGAGACCTGAGAGCAGCTTCCAGTGCCTGAAGGGGCTCCAGGAAAGCTGGGGAGGGGCTTGGGACAAGGGCAGGGAGGGATGGGAGCAGGGGGAAGGGTTTCCAGCTGGCAGAGGGAGCTGAAGCTGAGATGGGAGGGAGAAATTCTGGGCTGTGAGGGTGGGGAGCCCCTGGCCCAGGTTGCCCAGGGAAGCTGTGGCTGCCCCATCCCTGGGGGTGTTGAAGGGCAGGTTGGATGGGGCTTGGAGCAGCCTGGGCTGCTGGGAGGTGTCCCTGCCCATGCAGGGGGGCACTGGGTGGGCTTTGAACTCCTCCATGATCATTCCATGATTCTGCTGCTCTTTTATTATGTTCCCTGGCTGACACCTGGTGCTCATCAGGACATTGTCACACTGAGAATTCTTAACTAGCAAGTTTGACTTCCCTGCAATGTGACCTTTAATTGTTATACTCTGAGATTGACAGAGCTCACTTGTGTAGTGCAGGGAAGGTCCTGCCACCTCTTTTTGCTCAGCTGGTCTGCCTGGAATGTCACTGCTGACAGAGCAGGGTCCTCAGAGTTAGGGAGACACAACACTCTGCTTTCTCTCATTCCATTTTTTTACATGACTCAGGTTCCCACTGAGCAAGGAAAAATATGCCCTGGTTTCTCTTTGAATCTGTCTGGCTTTTAATTTCTTGCCCAGGAATCTTGTTATGACCTTTTCCTGGGGCTGAAGGGCCCTTCCTCTTCTCTCTGGTGCTGTGACCCTCCCCAGGGAGGGACTGGGATCCCCCCTCCCTGTGCATCCTGGGCTGTTGCAGCACAGCTGGGGTGGGATTCACCCCCAGGTGGCAGAGATTACCTGTGGCTGCTGCTTGTTCATCATCACACATCACCCTGTGTCAGCTGCAAATTCTACCTGGTCTGGAGCTTCCTCAGAGACCCAGTGACAAACTGGGGTGGTTCCTCAGACACAGGCAGGACAACCTGCAGGGCTTCCTTCTTCTGCCCCAGGAGGGGCACAACCCCCTGTACTGCTTCCTCAGCTGGAAGGAGTTTGTAACCAGGGAGAACAATGTTTAAACAGAATCCTCTATGAACCTGGTTTTTTTGCTTTTGAAATAGGAAAACAGGACATGTGGAACATTCCTGGGTCTTGCTGCTTAGGAGGAAGATCATACAAAAAGCTTAGACATTAAAATAGCCCTGTAGGGACTGATGAGGCTGAAGCATTTTCATGGCTTTGAAAACTGGTCCCTGTTTGCAGCTCAGGGGTGTTTTCTGGCTGTGTCAGCAGAGAACTCCTGGAGCAGTGCTGGGACTGGGGTGTGTGGACACACACTCAGGTTCCTCCTACTGGCAGAAACCAAACAATTGCCCAGATTTGGATTTCTTGAATGATTCTAGAACTCTGAAGCTGAACTGGCAATTGTTAATTCATAGAGTCATAGAATGGTTTGGGTAGGGAGAGACTTTAAAGATCAATTAGTTCCAATTTGTTGTTTTCATTGTGTTTTATCTTGGAAAGTCTCTTCCCTGCTGTCTGGCCTCTTGTCTGTTTGTCCTTGGGATATTTTCATGGCCACTCAGTCACAGCTCCTTTGAGCCTTCATTTTGTTGGATTAAAGAAACCAAGATCTTCTCATTTTCCCTGGTAGGACAGATTTCCATGCCCTGTTTCCCACTGCCTTGTCCCTCACCTGTTCCACTTGAGCTCAGTGTGTTGGCTCTGGGTACCAGGGCAGTTTATTCAGATTTAATTCACTGAATTCCCTGGGGTTTGTGGTGGTTTCTGTTCATGGATGGGCTTTCTCTCTAGCTGCCCAGCTTCTGCTTCTGCACTGAACATCAAGATCCTCAGTGAGTTTGGTCCTCCAGACTGTTGGTGAACTTGGAGGTGTCTCTGCCTCTGTGGTTCAAAATGAATGATTCCAGTTTTAATGCAAGAACCTTCCATTTATCTGCTTTTATCCCTTGGACAAACTGTCCCACTGTGCTGTCTGCCCTGGGCAGCCCTGAGCTGAGACAGATCCTACAGGTGTTCACAGAACCATAGAACCACAGGGGTTGGAAGGGACCTCTGAAGGTCATCAAGTCCAACCCCCCTGTTGCAGCAAAAACACCAGGAGCAGGTCCCACAGGAACGTGTCCAGGTGGGGCTTGGAAGTCTCCAGAGAAGGAGACTCCACAGCCTCCCTGGGCAGCCTGGCCCAGGGCTCTGTCACCCTCACTGCAAAGAGATTCATGTCTCTATGAGAGCTCTATGTTCATGTCTATATATATATATTTATGTCATCTGGGGGGGTGGAACCATCTGACCTTTGAGGTCCCTTCCAACCCAGACCCTTCTGTGATGCATTTTCAAATCAAGATGAATCGTGTCTGTATGAACCTGGTTTTTTATTTATGGTACCAGAGTAATCATCTTGAATATTGTTAAAGAGGCAGCCTTTCTCCATCCTCACTGACAGAGGAGCTGTTGAGTGCCCCAGGATCTGCAGGAATATCCCAGGCTGTGCAGTGTTGGAGGTGGCCTGGACCTGGACCTGGCTCACCTGCTCCTGCTGCCCTTGCTCACTGGGGCTCCCAGACTTCTCTTTGCTGCTCTCCCTGGTTAGTAAGAAGGGAGTGAAGTGCTTGACTCCTGCTCTGCACCCTCCCATCTCTGCCTTGCACTTCCCCATCCCCTTGGTGGCTAAAAACCCCTCTGGAGGGAGCAGGAAGCAGAAGATGCGCGGCTGGGTCCCAGCAGGCTGCTCTCCTGCATCTGCCTCCCTCCCTGCTCCTTCTTCACTCAGTTCCCAACCTTCCTGCAGTGACTCCCCCGCCCTCCGTGTGCTCACTGATATTTTTGGCCTCTCCCCTTGTCCTCACGAGTCACAAAGCTGGACAGATTTAGCCCTTCTCATCTTTCCTGGGGGGTCGGTGCCTCCGGCCCCTCCTGCTTGTCAGAGTGTTCCTGGCAAGAGGACACGCAGAGCTGGGTGTGATGTGAGTGTGTGAAGGTGCCTCTGATGGTGGTGGCTGTGAGGGGCTTCCTGCAGGGCTTGGGAAGCACAGACCCCAGCACAGAGCCTGGTCCCTGCAACCTGCCCTTCAGGATTTCTGGGCCCTTCCCACCTTTGGACTAAATGATACATTTATTGATTGATTAATACGTTTCAGTTCCACACTGTTTAGTGGCAATAAATGAACTCCATGGAATGTGTGGGCTTGAGAGGGACCTCAGGAGACCTGTCCCATCCCCCTGCCAGGGCAGGTTCACCCACAGGGTCCCTTTCTATCAGCATTTTTAAGCCTGTTGCTGAGATTCCACTGGGTCTCCCTGACTCCTCTGCTGTTACAAACGTGGTTTGATGGTTTCCTATGAAGTTATTAATGGAACAAAAAGGTAGAAGGATGCCTGTCCCTGCCCCTCCTCTGTTTGAAGGCTCTTTCCCTCCTCTCCTGGGGAATGAGGAGCATTTTTAGTGCCTGTGATGTGGAACAAGATCAGGCCCAACTCGGGTCTCAGCAGGGCCTCTGCTCCTTCCCTTCTGTAAGTTAACTCCAAACCCAGCACCACGTGGCAGTGAGAACATGTTGTGACAGTGGGTTCCATCTTGTACAGAAGTCTCACTAAAACTTGGCTGTTCCTTTATCAGCCAAGTTTGGAGTCTTGGAATGAGGCAGAGCTGTGCTTGGGAGACCTCATTTTCATAAGTCCAGTTCTCTTTGTGTGCCTGGTAAGAGGCTTCCCTGTTCTCCAGCTGCTTCTCTGGAATTGGTGCTGGGATAAGGAGCTGGTGGTTCCAGGCACCTTCCTGTGTAATCTCTGCCTAACAGCACAAGGCACCAGGAGCCCAGAACTGTACAGATACTCTAGAGGTTTATCAGAGATCTCAGTCGCTTGTTAGGGCTCTTGAACACAAGTTATTCAGTCCTTTAAACTTTGAAAAGTCCTTAAGCTTTGAAAAACCTGTTAAATGGATCCCTCAGCTGCTGCTGGAGTGATTCCTCACCTTGATGTGATGTGTGTCTGTCCTCGTGCCTGTGCCCAAGTACAGACCAGGGGGATTTGTCTCCTCTTGGAGTTTGCTGGGTCATTGTTGACAATCCAGCCTCATGTGCAGTAATTGCAGGGATTCATAGAATCACAGAGTGGTTTGGGTGGACAGGACCTCAAAGCCCACCCAGTGCCCCCCTGCATGGGCAGGGACACCTCCCAGCAGCCCAGGCTGCTCCAAGCCCCATCCAACCTGCCCTTCAACACCCCCAGGGATGGGGCAGCCACAGCTTCCCTGGGCAACCTGGGCCAGGGGCTCCCCACCCTCACAGCCCAGAATTTCTCCCTCCCATCTCAGCTTCAGCTCCCTCTGCCAGCTGGAAACCCTTCCCCCTGCTCCCATCCCTCCCTGCCCTTGTCCCAAGCCCCTCCCCAGCTTTCCTGGAGCCCCTTCAGGCCCTGGAAGCTGCTCTCAGGTCTCCCTGGAGCCTTCTCTTCTCCAGGCTGAACACCCCAACCCTCCCAGCCTGGCTCCAGAGCTGCTCCAGCCTTGAGCCAGAATCAGTTCCTAGGGGGGTGATCAGGGATGAGCTGGTGTGGGTGGTGGCTGCATCCCTGCTCCAGGGGGGAAATGCAAGAGGAGAGGACTCCCAGGGCAGTCAGAGGCAGCAGGGGGTGCAGGCTGTGCTGTCCCTGCTGCTCAGCTGCTCTTTGCTGGGTTTCCAGTCCAGACATGATGGAAGTCAAGGCAGCTCTGGAGCAGCCTTGGGACAGATTAACTTTCAGGGAGAAATAACCAACTGGTTAGTGCAAGGAGCAGCCCCTGGGCTGACAGGGAAATACTGGAGGTAAAGCTGAAAGGCTGGTCCAGGTTGTTGGATCCAGTTCCTGCTTTCTCAGGTTCATTTTCCTGTAAATTATTCTTTTCACAGACTTCAAACAAACATTCCCCAATTTCTTAGCACACTGAGTTTGTGGGAGAACCAGTTTGCTTTGGAAGTTTGGACTCTCCAGCCTAAACAATATTGATGTGCAACAAGCCCCTTTGCTGCTGTTTTAGCAGTGTCTCTACGAGTGGTTAGGTCTGGTTCCTCCCTGGTGTTTATCTTGTCCAGCCTGTGTGATAGACATAAAGTTCTTAACCCTCAGCCCAGTGGACTTTTCTGGCAGATTTCCCCATATTTCCAGTCTGGTTTCTGTGGGTTTCTGAAATCCATGGGGTTTGTTTTTCATCTTCCAGTTGGTTTGCACAGCCCAGCTCACTGTGCAGCTGGGAGTAACTTTCTGTCACCAGTGACCCTGTGTGTTCCTCACTCCTGGTCAGGAATAGCAGATCTGCCCTGTGGATCCAGGCAGGGAGCAAACCTCTCAGCAAACCTCTCAGCTGCCTCCCTTGGGAATCCCTGGATCCTGTGCCTGGGATCTCTGCTCCTCTTCGGGAGACCGAGGTTGTTGCCATTGTCTTTAGGAGGTTTTGTGCTGGGTATAGATGTAAATCTGGAGAGGGTTGCTGAAGCCCAGTGAGATGGGGAGGGGGAAAAGGGGTGTTTGTAGTTAGATCCCATTGCACCTCCTCATGGCAGAGCCCTTGGTGGGATCTCCCCCTGGCATTGATCCAGGGACACGCAGCCCTGTCTGGTGACAACCACCCTTCTCCTGCCTCACCAGAACAACCCTTGTCTCTCCATACTTGGGTTTCACTCTAGGAGCAGGGATCTCCTGGGGGAGGCCCCAGCAGTTTTCAGCTCTGCTGCTGAGGGGCTCCAGGGGGTGGCAGGGACCTCAGCTCTGAGCTCTGCCTTTCGGGGGGGGCTCGTGGGTCGGTTTCCAACATCAGAAGATGAGGCCCCAGGGGCTGTTGCCCCTGTGGCTGCAGGAGGGGCAGAGGGGGGCAGGAAGGGCAGAGGGGGCAGGAAGGCAGGGCTCCTGCTTCCCTGGCTGCCCCACACACCCTGACCTGGGCCAGGAGCCCTGGTAAGACCCTCTGCAGCAGCCGCTCTCTGAGCTGGACTTGGTTTCCAGGGAGGTGACACCTGGAGGGCAGCAGATCTGGTTCTCTGTGCATTTCTGTCACTTAACCTCCCCAGCTCCTTGGCCCTGACAGATCCCGGGGAGAGCCCTGGCTATCCCATTCCTGCCTCTGTGTCCTGCCACCTGCTCACCAACATGAACAGCTCCTGCTGCTGCCCTGAACAGAGACCATTCCAGTGCAAGTTTGACCAAAAGTGTTGCTGTTGGAAATGGGCAGAATTTGGTACTTAGAGGTGGGAGACAGGAAGGAGAAGGTGCTTCTGGCCTGCACAGTTACAATCCTGGGCCTGCCCGTGCAGAGGGGAGGAGAGGAAGGAGCCAGCTGGACAAAGCAAGTGGCTTTTGTGGAGCCACACATTGATTTCCATCAGTAGAGCAAAGCCAAGGACCAGTCCGGGGTGTTCTGGGAGAGGTGCTGAGCTTGGGGTTGGGGTGACCCTGAGTCTGCCAGTGACTGCCTGGAACTGCACCCCAAGGGAGCCAAGTGGTGGGGCTGGGCTGTGACCACTGCCCCATGTCTTTATCCAGCCCCATCCACTGCAGCTCAGCTTGCTGAGTGCTGGGCATCTCCTCCCAGCCTGTCCATTCCAGGCAGACTTGACTCCTGGGCTGGAGACAAAGGCCCAGGCCTCAGCTGGGAAAGGGGGTTGGTTTCTTTCCACGTGTTGTGACCTTGGAGCCCTTGAGCGTGGATCCCACAGCTGGCACAGGGGTGAGCCTGTGCTCTGCTCTTTGCCTTTGAGTGGTCACCCCTTGCTCTTCAAGACCTTCTGGTGGTTCTCCTGGTCTGCACGGGCCCATAACCTGTGTCCATTCTGCTTCCAGCTGACGCTGACAATCGTGCGGCAGACGGGGGGGCTGGGGATCAGCATCGCGGGGGGCAAGGGCTCCACCCCCTATAAGGGGGATGATGAGGTAAGACCCTGGGCTCTGGCAGCCTTGAAGAACCCCTGGTTCAGAGTCACCCTTGGTTCAGGGTCTCCCTTGGTCATGACCTCCCTGGTTCAGGGTCTCCCTTGGTTGGGGTCTCCCTGGTTCAGGGTCTCCCTTGGTCGGGGTCTCCCTTAGTCAGGGTCTCCCTTGGTCGGGGTCTCCCTGATTCAGAGTCACCCTTGGTTTAGGGTCTCCCTTAGTCAGTATCTCCCTTGGTCAGGTCTCCCTTGATCGTGACCTTCCTTGGTTCAGGATCTCCCTTGGTCAAGGTCTCCCTTGGTCAGGATCTCCTTTGGTTCAGGATCTCCCTTGGTCAAGGTCTCCCTTTGTCAGGAGCTCCCTGGTTCAGAGTCACCCTTGGTCAGGGTCTCCCTTGGTCAAGGTCTCCCTTGGTCAGGTCTCCCTCACTGCAGGTTGTCTTTAGGTGCCAGAATCACAGAACCATCAGGGTTGGAGAAGACCCCTGAGATCACCAACCGTCCACCCTGAGGTGGGGGCAGGGAGACAACACAACCCACCCAAACAACAACAACAAAAGCCCCCAAACCCACCAGAGCACCCCAGAAATAACCCCCCCATGCCCACCAGAGCACGTCCTGAGCTGCCACATCTACTTATTCCTTGAAACCTTCCAGGGCTGGTGCCT